GGATAGATACTCTCTACTCATACACAGTGGATATATACTCTCTATTCACACACAGTGGATAGATGCTCTCTACTCACACAGAGTGGATATATACTCTCTACTCACAACAGTGGATAGATACTCTCTCTCACACCATTGGATATATACTCTCTAACTCACACAGCACAGTGGGATTATATTTCCTACTCATACACAGTGATTATACTCTCTACTCATCACAGTGATAGATACTCTCTACTCATACACAGTGGGATAGATACTCTCTACTCATACACAGTGGATATATCCTACACTAATCACTAATCACCCACAGTGGATAGCTACAACGCTCTACGCATAACCACAGTGGATAGATTACTCTCTTTCTACTCACACACATTTGGATTATCTCTCTACTCATACACAGTGATAGATACCTCTTCCTCTCACACACAGTGGATTGATACTCCTATCCGCTACTCATACACAGTGGATAGATCCTCTCTACTCATACACAGTGGATTATCTCTCTTACTCACACACCCTTGGATAGATACTCGCTAACTCATCACAGTGGATAGATACTCTCTACTCACACACAGTGGATAGATACTCTCTACTCACACACAGTGGATATATACTATATATTTACACAGAGTGGGTAGATACTCTCTACTCTCACACAGTGGATTGATACTCTCTACGCACAAACAGTGAAGAGATACTATCTACTCATACACAGTGGATAGATACTCTCTACTCATACACAGTTGATTGATACTCTCTACTCATACACAGTGGATAGATACTCTACTCACACAAAGTGTATAGATACTCTCTACTCAGACACAGTGGATGATACCTCCTCTATTCACACCATGGATAATACTTCTCTACTCACACACAGTGATAGATACTCTCTACTCATACCCAGTATAGATACTCTCTCTTCACACATTTTTATATATAACTCTCTACCACACACATGTGATAGATACTCTCGTCTCACACACAGTGGATAGATACTCTCTACTCACACACAGTGGATAGATACTCTCTACTCATACACAGTGGATAGATACTCTCTACTCACACACAGTGGATAGATACTCTCTACTCACACACAGTGTATAGATACTCTCTATTCACACACAGTGGATATATACTCTCTACTCACACACAGTGGATGGACTCTACCTACACCCCATGGATATATACTCCTCATGCACACACAGTGGATTAAAATCTCCTCACACAAAGTGTATGATACTCTCTACTCATACACAGTGGATATAAACTCTCTATTCACACACAGTGGATAGATACTCTACTCACACACAGTGGATAGATACTCTCTACTCATACAGAGTGGATATATACTCTATATTTACACACAGTGGTAGATACTCCACTCTCAGACACGTGGATAGATAACTCTCTACTCACACACAATGTATAGCTACTCCTCTACTCACACAAAGTGGATAGTTACTCTACTCACACACAGTGGATAGATACTCTCTACTCATACACAGTGGATATATACTCTCTACTCACACACTTGTTGATATATACTCTCTACTCACACACAGTGGGTAGATACTCTCTTCTCACACACATAACTAGATACGCTCTACTCACACCAGTGGTAGCTACTCTCTACTCACACACAGTGGATATATAACTCTATACTTACACACATTTTGATAGATACTCCTCTCACTCACAACACCGTGGATAGCCTACTCTCTCCTCACACACCGTGGATACTACTCTCTTCTCACACACATGGATAGATACTCTCTACTCACACAACAGTGGATGTAGATACTCTCTATCTCATATACAGTGGATATATCCTCCCTACTCATACCCAGTGGATCGATTTGTCCCCCTCTACTCATCCACCGTGGATAGATACTCTCTACTCATACACATGGATAGATACTCCTCTAACTCATACACCGTGGATAGAACTTCTCTACTCATAACAGTGGATAGATACCCTCTACGGCATACACAGTTTTTATTACTCTCTCCTCACACCAGTTGATATATACTCTCTACTCACTACTCACACGCAGTGGGATAGATAACTCTCTACTCAACACATGACAGAGTCCTCTCTACTCAACAACCATTGGATATATTCGCTCTACTCATACACATTGGATAGATACTCACTCGCTACTCATACACGTGGAATATATACTCGCACTCATATATCAGTGGATAGATCTCCTCGTACTCACACACAGTGGATAGATACTCACTCTACTCACACACAGTGGATTGATACTCTCTATCGATACACATGGATATTACCTCTCTCTCACACACAGTGGATAGATACTCTCACTCAGAGACACAGTGGAGAGATACTCTCTATTCACACATTTTATCTATACTCTCTAATCACACACATGTGATAGATACTCTCGTCTCACACACAGTGTAAGATACCCTCTAACTCACACACATGGATAGATACTCTCTACTCATACACATGGATAATACTCTCTAACTCACACACCAGTGGTAGATACTTCTCTACTACCTCTCTACTCACACACAGTGTATAGAGACTCTCTAATTCACACACAGTGTCTATACTCTCTACTCACACACAGTGGATATATCCCTACCTACACCAATGGATCTATACCTACTCTCTATTCACAACAACAGTGATATATACTTTTTTTTTTGCTACTCACACACAAAGTGTATATATACTCTCTACTCAACACATGATATACACTCTCTATTCACGCCACAGTGGAATAGATACTCTACTCACACACAGTGGCGATAGAGACTCTCTACTCATTCAGAGTGGGATATATACTCTAATATTACACACAGTGGATAGATACTCTCCTCTACTCATACACATGGAAAAAAAACAAACTCTATACTCCTCTACTTCACACACAATAATAGATACTCGCTACTCACACCAAGTGATAGTTTACTCTACTCACCCACATGGATGATACTCTCTACTCATACACAGTGGATATATACTCGCTACCTCACACACCTCTGTTGATATATACTCTCTACTCCACCAGTGGGTATATACTCCCTTCTCCACACACAGTGAAATCGGAAATACTACCTCTACTACTCACACACAGTGGATAGATACTCTCTACTCACACACAGTGGATATATACTCTATACTTACACACAGTTGATAGATACTCTCTACTCACACACAGTGGATAGATACTCTCTACTCACACACAGTGGATGAGATACTACTCTCTCTCACACCAACAGTGGATAGATACTCTCTACTCACACACCGTGATAGATATCTCTAACTCATATCATGGATATATAATCTCTACTCATAACCCAGTGGATAGATTACTCTCTTACTCATACACAGTGGATAGAATAACTCTCTACTCATCACAGTGTTTATTTACTCTCTACTCATACACCGTGGATAGATACTCTCTATCATACACAGTTTTTTTATATACTCTCTACTCACACACAGTTGATATATACTCTCTACTCACACACAGTGGATAGATACTCTCTACTCATACACAGTGGACAGATACTCTCTACTCATACACAGTGGATAGATACTCTCTACTCATACACAGTGGATAGATACTCTCTACTCATACACAGTGGATATATACTCTCTACTCATATACAGTGGATAGATACTCTCTCTACTCACACACATTGGGGGGGGGGGAAAAAAAAAAATAGATACTCTCTACTCCCACACAGTGGATGGATATCTCCTACTCATACACAGTTGGATAGTACTCTCTACCTCACACACATGTATAGATACTCTCTACTCACACCAGTGGATAGAGACTCTCTTACTCACACACAGTGGATAGATACTCTCTACTCACACACAGTGATAGATACTCTCTACTCATACACTGTGGATAGATACTCTCTGAGCTGAAGGAGATGATGCAGGACGTAGGATCAAAATGTTAGAATACTGATTGTTTGCAATTAGTATAACCAAATACAAATCTTTGCATCTACACTTAGTTAAATATTGGTTGTAGAAATCACAACCCTAATGTTGGCAAGTATCATTTTTAGCAATGTACCAAACTACCTTCAGCAGACTACTTTAGAGTCATAGTAGAGGAGCTGCCTCTCAGGCTGAGGTATTTTAGCTGACTAGAGCTGACAGTGACAGAGTCGCTGCCTCCCAGGCAACATGCTGTGTAGCTGTTGATGACTGTTCTCTCATTGGTAGGTGCTGTCTGGCTATAAATACCAAGCCCAGGTGTAGTGAACAGAGCAGGAACATGGGGGATAGAACAGCTTGTCCTCTGTCTCTTTTAGTCCAGGACGTTCTCTTGTTTAAGTCTCTAGACACACCACCACAGAGACAGATGACAGCAGACAAATACAGAAGAGAGAGAGAGAGAGAGCGAGAGAGAGAGAGCGAAGATAGAGAGATAGAAGATCGAGATAGAGAGAGATAGAGAGGATTGTCACTCGCATCCGCTGTCTCTCTAGGGTGTGTTTTATAACACCATTCTCTCTCTCTGTAGCCTCTCTTTTCTGTAGCTAACAACGTTAGCTCCATCGCTCTTCATCTCTTGTGTGTGTGTCGGGGAATAGGACCAGGCACAGAGATAGCACTTGGCAGCATGCCCCAACATCGGGCCCAAATTGGCAGGCAATTAATACCAAGCAGATCCCTGGGAGACACACACACACACACAGCCTAATTTCAGTGAAGCTTCAATACGAAACGGTTTATGACTCACAGTAATTGAATTTGGACAATAGGACATGGTTGTTTATGCCAGATGAAATGTGACGGACCTTTCCAACTCAGCAGAACACTTGAATTGACATCTTGATGATAAATGTGGTCTCCAACAATCATCGGAACATTCCACTCCCTACAAATGGCTGTCCATTCTAAACATTCTATCATATATTGTAGAGATCTGCAAACAGGCACACTTCCTTCTCCAAACACACTTTCAGACATTAGCCCTGACTATGGCCCCATGGAGGGAGTAGTGTCTGGGGCAGGGAAACTACTCATTCCCTGGCCTGGGCTCTCCCACCCAGACAGACTGAAGCACTGCCCAGAACAGGCTGGAAGAGAAGTGGGGGAGAGAGATGATGGAGAGAGAAAGAGAGAGAAAGGAGGGAGAAAATAGGAAGAGAGGGATATAGAAGGGAGGATTAGGGAGAGAGGGACGGGGTTGGGAGTTGAGAACGAGAGAGAAAATGGATAATTTACAACAGAAGGAAGAGATGTGGGCACAAAACAGGAGACAGAATAAAGGACGGACAGAAGATATGGATAGTTTGAAGTCAGCACGAGAGAGAGCAGAGAGAGAGAGAGGCGAGAGATGGCGAGGAGCGAGAGAGAGGAGAGAGAGAGAGAGAAAGTGAGAGAGAGAAGCCTCCTCCTTAGATTAAACAATAGAAGTGGGGGGACAGGGGTGTCATTGTACTGCCTGTGAGACTGTGCCGTGTGCCCACAGGAGTAGAAAGGGTGGTGGTGGCACTCTGTTTTAGGGACTTTATTTGCTCGGTGACGTTTTATCTGCCAGCAGATGTGCCTATAAGCTAACTTCCTGACTAACATCTTTATTTCTGTCTTTCTTTCTGTCTCTCTCTCTCCATCTCTCTTTGTCTGTTAGTCTGTTGCATTTCGACATGTTCTTGAATCTCAAGGGCTTGTAGGATACAAAATGTGTTTTATGTAAATAGTAGGCTTTTGGGGTATGATAAATATAACGTTTTATAGTACGTGGAATTTTGAAGATTATGTATCCTTTAAATGCCAGGATGTCATACTCATTTCGGCTTTTCATCTAGTAGAATTCACTGCACACTATTGAGGAAAACAATCGTCTTTTCGCACCCACCTGTGTTTGACAACAGCTGAACAGCAATGGCAGGGAACATCTAGATTAGATAACGCCTTCTCAGTATGGAGAAGTATTATGTTGATATATATTTTTTTGCTTATTGCATATGTTTTTACTAAACAGTACATTTGAAATAGTATGTAGCACTATTAGCACACATTAAGTCGTTTTAGTAAGTAGTATGCAAGACAAAAACAGATCAATACAAGATGGCCTTTTCTCTAGCTTCGTTTGGCCAGAGAACCAGACACAAACACCAGAACACATACCCCCAGAGCGTTTGTATATACGGATATTATATTTCTCTGTAACTCTTCTGCATATCACCCTGGCACTTCCTCCAGTCTTAGAGCTATGTTCACTCCTATCTCAATCTCACTCCAATAGAAATGCATGGAATATGATCCAGGCATTTCAACTCAGAGGAAGATGAGTAAACAATGTTATGTTGTAGTCTGTAGACTTTATAGTGTGGTGTCTAATGCACAGCAGGTCATTTCAGTCCACTACTGCTTGCTCAGCAGGGACTCCCTCCCTAACTCCCATAACTCCTTTAAACTTAACTCAGGAGAGCAGAGATACTGTATCTTGAAAGCTCAGATTGCACTTAGTCTCAAAAGTGTGAGGATACATATGCAGTAGGATACAGACCCGTTTCGGTGAAGATTTAAAAGTAGGAATTTAGAAACGGAGGAGCTGGCAACAAAAATTTGAACTCTACCAAATTACTCTAAAACTTTCTCTGGGCTACAGCAGTGATCCACTATATAGATAGCCATGCTAGCTTTGCCCTAATGTTGGTGCTAGCAAGCAGGCTAGGTAGTGCTAGGTATCAACAGCCAATCCAGTAGGGGCTGGAAACTATAGTGAGCTTCGATTGGTCAATATATGTATATTGACCAATATTCTCCCTCCCCTCCTTTCCTCCCTCCACTGTTGGAGCTTAATAAGAAACGTGTGTGAGAGCTATGAGGGACAGTCTTCTCTCTGAGTGTTTGATTGGGAGGGGAGTATAGGCATGATGTCATCAATGGTGAGATGCAGAGCGTCTGTGAGCCATTAGTTTAAAACTCCCCTTACACACTTCTATAGAGGGGTGTATGTGTATTGACATTGGTTTGTTAATTCAAAGTAGCAAGGATGAACACTAATCTCACTGACCTTTCACTGTGGTTGCTGTTAACAATACTGCGGTGAGAAAGGTAGCTACAGATTCTGCTGCAGGTGAAAAGAAAGAGAGCAGATAGGAGTAAGGGATGGATTTTCTCCTTGCCTTTAATTGGCTACCTTGTGTGCCAGTGGGGCATTATCAGTCAAGGCATCGCATTGCTATGGCAGCATGTTTGTTTACTATCTCTAAATCAATGTTCTATATGCTAATGAGCGCAGTGGTGCACTCTGGGAAGGGACTAATGGTGGTTGTAAAGTGACCCCTCAGCAGGAAGCATCGATCCAGCTGCTGACACATTGGATCATCACACACAGACATACACTCACGAACGCATTCATTTACATTTACATTTTTACATTTTAGTCATTTAGCAGACACTCTTATCCAGAGCGACTTACAGTTAGTGATTACATATATTTTTTTTTTTATACTGGCCCCCCATGGGAATCGAACCCACAACCCTGGCGTTGCAAACGCCATGCTCTATCAACTGAGCTACATCCCTGCCGGCCATTCCCTACCCTGGACGATGCTGGGCCAATTGTGCGCCGCCCAGTCGCGGCCAGCTGCGACAGAGCCTGGATTCGAACTAGGATCTCTAGTGGCACAGTTAGCACTGCGATGCAGTGCCTTAGACCACTGCGCCACTCAGGAGCTCAAAAACTTTCTCTGGGCTACAGCAGTGATCATTCACACACACATTCACACGCATACACACACACACACAGACACACACATATACACAAAGAGACAGTAACCCAGTCGCACAGTAATCTCACTTTATGAAATGAAACCCCTACTTTGTAAGGGTGGGTGTGTCTACACTGACTGATTTCTATAACGTCACCTCCCATTCCATATCTCAATTATACCATACTTCCTGCTCTAATGATCTCTCTCTCTCTCTCTCTCTCTCTCTTGCTCTCTCTCTCTCTCATTCTGTGTATGTGTGTGTGTTTGTGTGTGTGTAATGAGTTCTCCTTTGACAGATTTAGCCTGGTGCTAAGGATGTGAAGGGGACTCTTATCAGCAGTGGAAAATGAAAGAGGGATTTTCAGAGAAAGGCAGGAAAGAACAGAGCGCCTTTTAACTCCAATCTGCTTCAGCATGGGGTCAATAAACCTGCGGCAGGAGTAAAATTGAGTTCAGACCTCCCTCCCTCCCTCCACCCATCCCCCCTATTTCTCCAGTCTCTGACACTTTTTCTGCAGCTCAATTCCCTCTCTCCGTCTCTATCTTCTCCTTCTTCCATCCCCCCTTTTCTTGCTATCTCTGACTCTCACTACTCTACTTCCCTCATTCTCCTCTCTCCTTCTCTTCTTTCTCTATCACTCAGTGATTCTCTTCCTCCAAATTCCATCTCTTCCCTTGTCTCACTCTCCTCCAGGCAGTATTGCATGGCTGGCCTCAATTCACAAGGACATCTCACCCAGCCCTACATTTAAACAAGGAGGAGAAGGAGAGAGTCAGAAAGCAAGTTGGTGAGGACAGAGAAATAAGAAGTGAGAGAGAAAGAAATAGCAAAAGGAGGTATAAATGAGCGTGACAGAGAATTTTTTAGTAAAGCTGTGATGTCTGTCACTTTCTTGGAACACCTGTTATTTTCCCAGAATACACCTCTACCACCTGTAAAGAGAGAGAGAGAAGGAAAGTGATAGTGAGAGAGAAAGAGAGAGGGGAGTGATAGAGGAAGGGGTTAGCGAGATTGTAGTTCCTCAGAACTAGACTTTTTGCAAAAATAGCCTCGGCCACACATATACTTGTCACGACTTCCTCCGAAGCTGCCTCCTCTCCTTGTTCAGGCAGGCTTTGGCGTTCATCGTCACCGGCCTTCTAGCCACTGTCGCTCCTCATCTCATCATTCCATTTGTTTTGTCTTGTTTATTACACACACCTGGTTCATATCCCCTAATCAGTACCTGTATAAGTGTTCCCTCTGCCCCCTTGTCTTTGTGTGTGATTGTTTATTGTGGAGGTTAGTTTAGCTCGTGGAGCTCTTTAATTTTGTATCGCCGGGATATTCACCCGTGTGCCTTGTTGTTTCCAGTGCGCTGTATATTTCCACACTGGAGTGTTTGACGCATTGCTGTGTCAACGGAATAAACCTGTTATTCTGTGATTTACCCTCCTGCGCCTGAATCACATCACCACAATACTGCAATTTAAACTTGCAAACTTGTCACATCTCTAGCGTTACCTCCGGACGTAGCGCACAACACTCACCCGACAGTTGCCCCCCTCTAAGTAGGGCAGTGTAAACACAATTGTCTCGGTGAGCCAACAATCTTACAGTAAAAATTGTAATAGCATAGCAATGTCTTTTGAAACATCTGAAATGTACAGACATTTTCCTTATTTTTTGGACTTGTTTTAATTGAGTTTTTACTAGAAATTGTAGTAACAGCTTGTTACATTCTGAAATTGTCGCTTAAAATTTCAAGTTTTTTTATTTTTTTTTGCTTGACTGCACTGACTCACCAAGGTCCAGGCAAGAAGCAACTCCACAGTGAATTATCAATGTTTTCAGTCGCAATTTTCTTTTTTACCTCATAGAATGACTTCCATCATATTACTAAAATGAATCATGGTTTGTTCTAAGGTCACTTCAATATGGTAGCTAGTGTAAGCCTATAGGAGCTCCTATCTAGCTATGGTTCAGCTAAACATCTGCATTCTGCTACAGCAAGCACGTTTAATTATTTTGTTTAGCTAGCCAGCTTGCTAGCAAACGTCACCTAGCTGAGTAACCTATATTATAAAATGAAGATATCCTATCAACGGGACCTGAAGAACTGTAAAATTCTATGTTTCTCAGAGTCTTGGCTGAACAAGGACATGGATAATATAGATGTCATGGGTTTCTCCATGCATCGTCTAGACCGGATGGTATTCTCGGGTAAGACTGAGAGGGGAGGGGTGTGTCTCTTTGTTAACAGCAGCTGGTGCACAATCTCTAATATTAAGGAAGCCTCGAGTGTTTGCTCGCCTGAGTTAGAACACCTCATGATAAGCTGCAGACTATACCATACTATTTACCAAGAGAGTTTTCATCTATATTTTTTCGTAGCTGTCTATTTACCACCACAAACCAATGCTGGCACTAAGACCGCACTCAGCAAGCTGTATAGGGCCAGAAGCAAACAAGAAAATGCACATCTGCTTCTCGTGGTCTGTGATTTTAATGCAGGGAAACTGAAATCAGTTTTACCTCACATTTACCTGCATGTCACCGGTGCAACTAGAGGCGACAAAACACGATCACCTTTACTCAGCACACAGAAACGCATACAAGGCTCTCCTTCACCTTCCCTTTGAAAGATCTGACCACAACTCTATCATCCTGATTCCTGCTTACAAGCAAAAACTCAAACAGGAAGTGCCTTCTATGCTCGCTTTGAGGCAAGCAACACTGAACCATTCCGGACGACTGTGTGATTTCGCTCTCCGCTCAATAAGGGAGTGGTCAGATGAAGCGGATGCTAAGCTACAGGACTGTTTCACTAGCACAGACTGGAATATGTTCAGGGATTCATTCGATAACATTGAGGAGTTTACCACATCAGTCACCGGCTTCATTAGTAAATTAATCGACAAAGTCGCCCTCACAGTGTATGTGGACACCCATACTCACAAAAGTATGTGGACACCCCTTCAAATTAATGGATTTGGCTATTTCAGCCACACCAGTTGCTGACAGGTGTATAAAATCGAGCACACAGCCATGCAATCTCCATAGACATGATTTGGCAGTAGAATGGACCTTACTGAAGAGCTCAGTGACTTTCAACATGGCGCTGTCATAGGATGCCACCTTTCCAACAAGTCAGTTCGTCAAATTTCTGCCCTGCTAGAGCTGCCACAGTCAACTGTAAGTGCTGTTATTGGGAAGTGTAAACATCTAGGAGCAACAATGGCTCAGTCGCAAAGTGGTAGGCCACACAAGCCCACAGAACGGGACCGGCGAGTGCTGAAGCGCGTAGTGCGTAAAAATCTTCTGTCCTCAGATGCAACACTCACTACCTAGTTCCAAACTGCCTCTGGAAGCAACGTCAGCACAAGAAATGTTCGTCGGGAGCTTCATGAAGGGGTTTCCATGGCCGAGCAGCCGCACACAAGCCTAAGATCACTGTGCGCAATGCCAAGCGTCGGCTGGAGTGGTGTAAAGCTCTCCGCCATTGGACTCTGGAGCAGTGGAAACACGTTCTCTGGAGTAATGAATCACACTTAACCATCTGGCAGTCTGACGGACGAATCTGGGTTTCGCGGAGGCCAGGAGAACGCTACCTGTCTTAAAGCATAGTGCCAACTGTAAAGTTTAGTGGAGGAGGAATAATGGTCTGAGGCTGTTTTTCATGGTTCGGTTTGGGGAAGACCCTTTCCTGTTTCAGCATGACAATGCCCCCTTGCACAAAGCAAGGTCCATACAGGGTATGAGAATGGCGCCGGAGAAGATGGCTGCCGTTTTACAGCCCTCTAACCAATTGTACTATTATGTGTGTTTTTCCACGTTATTTGTAATATATTCTGTACATAATGTTTCTGCCATCGTCTCTTATAACCAAAAAGAGCTTCTGGATATCAGGACAGCGATTACTCACCTCGTATTGGACGAAGATTTTTTCTTCAACAAGTCGGACGTGAAGGATATCCTACAGACACCCGACCCGACAAGGCCCAAATCCCTGTCATTCGCATGAGAAAGATACGGAGATATCGTGGACGTAGGTCTGGGTGCCTTGTAAGGATCCGACGGCGAGCAAGTAAACTGCCTCTTCCATCAATCCTATTAGCCAATGTTCAATCATTTGAGAATAAATTGGATGACCTAAGATTACAGTTATCCTACCAACGGGACATTAAAAACTGTAATATCTTATGTTTCACCGAGTCGTGGCTGAACGACAACACGGACAACATATAGCTAGCGGGCTATATGCTACATCGGCAGGATAGAACGGCTGACTCAGGTAAGACAAGAGGTGGTGGTCTGTGTATATTTGTAAACAACAGCTGGTGCACAAAATCAAATACTAAGGAAGTCTCAAGGTTTTGCTCGCCTGAGGTAGAGTATCTTATGACAAGCTGTAGACCACACTATTTACCAAGAGAGTTTTCATCTATATTTTTCATAGCTGTCTATTTACCACCACAAACCAATGCTGGCATTAAGATTGCACGGAATGAGCTGTATAAGGCCATAAGTGAACAGGAAAACATTCATCCAGAGACAGCTCTCCTAGTGGCCGGGGACTTTAATGCAGGGAAACTTAAATCCGTTCTACCAGCATGTTAAAGGTGCAACCAGAGGAAGAACATCTCTAGACCACCTTTACTCCACACACAGAGATGCATACAAAGCTCTCCCTCACCCTCCATTTGGCAAATCTGACCATAACTCTATCCTCCTGATTCCTGCTTATAAGCAAAAACTAAAGCAGGAAGCACCAGTGACTCGGTTAATGAAAAAGTGGTCAGATGACGCAGATGCTAAGCTTCAGGACTGTTTTGCTAGCACAGACTGGAACATGTTCTGGGATTCTTCAGATAGCAATGAGGAGTACACCACATCAGTCACTGGCTTCATCAATAAGTGCATCGATGATGTCGTCCCCACAGTGACCGTACGTACATACCCCAACCAGAAGCCATGGATTACAGGCAACATCTGCACTGAGCTAAAGGGTAGAGCTGCTGCTTTCAAGGAGCGGGACTCTAACCCGGACGCTTATAAGAAATCCCGCTATGTCCTCAGACGAACCATCAAACAGACAAAGAGTCAATACAGGACTAAGATTGAATCGTACTACACCGGCTCTGACCCTCGTCGGATGTGGCAGGGCTTGAGAACTATTACAGACTACAAAGGGAAGCATAGCCGCGAGCTGCCCAGTCACACAAGACTTCCAGACGAGCTAAACCACTTCTATGCTAGCTTCGAGGCAAGCAACACTGAAGCATGCATGAGAGCACCAGCTGTTCCGGATGACTATGTGATCACACTCTCCGTAGCCAATGTGAGTAAGACTTTTAAGCAGGTCAACATTCACAAGGCCGCAGGGCCAGACGGATTACCAGGACGTGTACTCCGAGCACGTGCTGACAAACTGGCAAGTGTCTTCACTGACATTTCAACATGTCCCTGACTGAGTCTGTAATACCAACATGTTTCAAGCAGACCACCATAGTCCCCGTGCCCAAGGACACTAAGATAACCTGCCTAAATGACTACCGACCCGTAGCACTGACGTCTGTAGCCATGAAGTGCTTTGAAAGGCTGGTCATGGCTCACATCAACACCATTATCCCAGAAACCCTAGACCCACTCCAATTTGCATACCGCCCCAACAGATCCACAGATGATGCAATCTCTATTGCACTCCACACTGCCCTTTCCCACCTGGACAAGAGGAACACCTACGTGAGAATGCTATTCATTGACTACAGCTCAGCGTTCAACACCATAGTGCCCTCAAAGCTCATCACTAAGCTAAGGATCCTGGGACTAAACACCTCCCTCTGCAACTGGATCCTGGACTTCCTGACGGGCCGCCCCCAGGTGGTAAGCGTAGGTAACAACACATCTGCCACACTGATCCACAACACAGGGGCAAAAAAAGGGGACTGAGCACACCCCCATTCTCATCGACGGGGCTGTAGTGGAACAGGTTGAGAGCTTCAAGTTCCTTGGTGTCCACATCCCCAACGAACTATCATGGTCCAAACACACCAAGACAGCCGTGACGAGGGCACGACAAAGCCTATTCCCCCTCAGGAGACTGAAAAGATTTGGCATGGGTCCTCAGATCCTCAAAAGATTCTACAGCTGCACCATCGAGAGCATCCTGACTGGTTGCATCACCGCCTTGTATGGCAACTGCTCGGCTTCCGACCGCAAGGCACTACAGAGGGTAGTGCGTACGGCCCAGTACATCACTGGGGCCAAGCTTCCTGCCATCCAGGACCTCTTTACCAGGCAGTGTCAGAGGAAGGCCCTCAAAATGTTCAATGACTCTAGCCACCCTAGTCATAGACTGTTCTCTCTGCTACCGCATGGCAAGCGGTACCGGAGTGCCAAGTCTAGGTCCAAAATACTTCTCAACAGCTTCTACCCCCAAGCCATAAGACTCCTGAACAGCTAATCATGGCTACCTGGACTATGTGCACTGCCCCCCCACCCCCACCCCCCACCCCATCTTTTTACGCTGCTGCTACTCTGTTAATTATTTATGCATAGTTACTTTAACTCTACCCACACGTACATATTACTTCAACTACCTCAACTAGCCGGTGCCCCCGCACATTGACTCTGCACCGGTACCCCCCTGTATATATAGCCTCCCTACTGTTATTTTATTTTACTTCTGCTCTTTTTTTCTCAACACTTTTTTGTTGTTGTTTTATTTTACCTTTTTAATAAAAAAAAAAATGCACTGTTGGTTAAGGGCTGTAAGTAAGCATTTCACGGTAATGTCTACACCTGTTGTATTCGCCGCATGTGGCCAATAAAATTTGATTTGATTTTGATTTTAAATGGTTTGTCGAGATCGGTGTGGAAGAACTTAACTGGCCTACACAGAGCCCTGCCCTCAACCCCATCAAACACCTTTGAGATCAATTGGATGCCGACTGCATCTATTGGAAAGCCTTCCCAGAATAGTGCAGGCTGTTATAGCAGCAAAGGGGGGACCAACTCCATATTAATTCCCATGATTTTGGAATGAGATGTTCGATGAGCAGGTGTCCACATACTTTTGTCCATGTAGTGTACATATCCCAACCAGAAGCCACACTGAGCTAAAGGCTATAGCTGCCCACTTTCAAGGAGCTAATCCGGACGCTTATAAGAAATCTCGCTACGACCTCCGACAAGCCATCAAACAGGCAATGTGCCGGACGACTGTGTGATTTCGTCCTCCGTAGCCAATGTAAAACCTTTAAACAGATTCACAAGGCCACGGGGCCAGATGGATTACCAGGACGCGTACTCAGAGCATGCGCTGATCAACTAGGAAGTGTCTTCACTGACATTTTCAACCTCTCCCTGACCCTGTCTATAATACCTACATGTTTCAAGCAGACCACATTTTACATTTACATTTTAGTCATTTAGCAGACGCTCTTATCCAGAGCGACTTACAGGAGCGCCATAGTCCCTGTGCCCAAGAACGCCAAGGTAACCTGTCTAAATGACTATCACCCCGTAGAACTCACATCTGTAGCCATGAAATGCTTTGAAAGGCTGGTCATGGCTCACGTCATCACTATCATCCCAGACACCCTGGACCCACTCCAATTCGTATACCGCCCCAACAGATCCACAGATGATGCAATCTCTATTGCACTCCACACTGCCCTCTCCCACCTGGATAAGAAGAACAACTGTATGTGAGAATGCTGTTCATTGACTACAGCTCAGCATTTAACACCATAATGCCCTCCAAGCTCATCACTAAGCTCAGGACCCTGGTGGTGGGCCTGATCACCGACGACGATGAGACAGCCTATAAGGAGGAGGTCAGTGACCTGGCAGTGTAGTTCCAGGACAACCTTTCCCTCAACATCAACAAGACAAAGGAGCTGATCGTGGACTACAGGAAACGGAGGGCCGAGCACGCCCCCATCCACATTGACGGAGCTGTAGTGGAGCAGGTCAAGAGCTTCAAGTTCCTTGGTTTCCACATCACTAAGGAATTAACATGATCCACACACACCAACACAGTCGTGAAGAAGGTACAACAATGCCTCTACCCCCTCAGGAGGCTGAAAGATTTGGCATGGGCCCTCAGATCCTCAAAAGGTTATACAGTTGCACCTTTGAGAGCATCTTGACTGGCTGCATCACTGCTTGGTATGGCAACTGCTTGGCATCAGACCGCAAGGTGAGGGTAGTACGTACGGCCCAGTACATCACTGGGGCAGAGCTCCCTGCGTCCAGGACCTGTCTACCAGGCGGTGTCAGAGGAAGGCCCTAAAAATTGTCACAGACTCCAGCCACCCAAATCATAGACTGTTCTCTCTGCTACCACACGGCAAGCGGTACCCATGCACCAAGTCTGGAACCAATAGGACCATGAACAGCTTTTGCCATCTATCTGCATTGACCCAACTCTTTTGACTCATCACATAAGCTGCTGCTACTGCTTATTATCTATCCTGTTGCCTATTCACTTTACCCCTACCTACAGTGCCTTCAGAAAGTATTCATACCCCTTGACTTATTCCACATTTTGTTGTGTTACAGCCTGAATTCAAAATTGATTAAATATTTGTTTTAATTCACCCATCTACACACAATACCCCAGAATGACAAAGTAAAAACATGTCTGAAATTTTTTTGCTCATTTATTGAAAATGAAATACAGAAAGATCTAATTTACATAAGTATTCACACCCCTGAGTCAATACTTTGTAGAAGCACCTTTGGCAGCGATTACAGCTGTGAGTCTTTCTGGGTAAGTCTCTAAGAGCTTTCCATACCTGGATTGTGCAACATGTGCCCATTATTATTTTCAAAATTCTTCAATCTCTGTCGTATTGGTTGTTGATCATTGCTAGACAACCATTTTCAGGTCTTGCCATAGATTTTCAGTAGATTTAAGTCAAAACTGTAACTAGGCCACTCAGGAACATGCACTGTGTTCTTGGTATGCAACTCCAGTTTATATTTGACATTGTGTTTTAGGAAATTGTCCTGCTGAAAGGTGACTGAACCAGGTTTTCCGCTAGGATTTTGCCTGTGCTTAGCTTAGCTCCATTTAGTTTATTTTTATCCTGAAAATCTCCCCAGTCCTTAACAATAACAAGCATACCCAAAATACCACTATGCTTGAAAATATGGAGAGTGATACTCAGTAATGTGTTGTATTGGATTTTTCCAAAACATAACACTTTGTACTGAGGACAAAAAGTGAATTGCTTTGCCACATTTTTTGCAGTATTACTTTAGTGCCTTGTTACAAACAGGATGGATGTTTTATAATATTTTATTCTGTACAGGCTTCCTTCTTTTCACTCTGTAAATGAGGTTGGTATTGTGGAGTAACTACAATGTTGCTGATCCATCTGGAGTTTTCTCATATCACAGCCATTAAACTCTAACTGTTTTAAAGTCAAATCAAATCAAATCAAATTGTATTTGTCACATACACGTGTTTAGCAGATGTTATAGCGGGTGTAGCGAAATGCTTGTGCTTCTAGCTCCGACAGTGCAGAATATCTAACAATTTCACAACATATACCCAATACACACAAATAAGTAAGGAATGGGATTTAAGAATATATATATATATATATATATATATATATATATATATGGACAGGCAATGACAGAGCGGCATGGACTAAGATACAGTAATAGTTTGCCCCCGTTAATGAGTTCGGCAGACCGCACCACCCTCTGGAGAGCCCTGCGGTTGTGGGCGGTGCAGTTGCCGTATCAGGCGGTGATACAACCCGACTGGATGCTCTCAATTGTGCATCTGTAAAAGTTTGTGAGGGTTTTAGGTGATAAGCCAAATTTCTTCAGCCTTCTGAGGTTGAAGAGGCTCTGTTGCGCCTTCTTCACCACACTGTCTGCATGGGTGGACCATTTCAGTTTGCCGGTGATGTGTACGCCAAGGAACTTGAAACTTTCCATCTTCTCCACTGCGGTCCCGTCGATATGGATAGGGGGGTGCACCCTTTGCTGTTTCCTGAAGTCCACGATAATCTCCTTTGTTTTGTTGATGTTGAGTGAGAGGTTATTTTCCTGGCACCACACTCCCAGAGCCCTCACCTCCTCCCAGTAGGCGGTCTCGTCATTGTTGGTAATCAAGCCTACAACTGTTGTGTCGTCTGCAAACTTGATGATTGAGTTGGAGGCGTGCTTGGCCACGCAGTCATGGGTGAACAGGGAGTACAGGAGGGGGCTGAGCACACACCCTTGTGGGGCCCCAGTGTTGAGGATCAGCGAAGTGGAGATGTTGTTTCCTACCTTCACCACCTGGGGGCAGCCCATCAGGAAGTCCAGGACCCAGTTGCACAGGGCCTTGAGCTTAATGATGAGCTTGGAGGGTACTATGGTGTTGAATGTTGAGCTATAGTCAATGAACAGCATTCTTACATAGGTATATGGGGTGCATTTTCAGTTTTCCACCAAGTAGGGTTGTGTGTTAGTGTGTGTATGTGTGTGGGGTGCATTTTAGGTTTTCCACCAAGCAGGGTTGTGTGTTAGTTTCTCTCTCCCTCTCTCGCTCTCTCTCTCTGTCTCTCAGGTAAGGGTCAGTAGTTAGTACAGTACAATAGGCTGTATAGCCCCCTAATGACCTCCATGTTAGCCTGGCATTAGATTCCTGAAGCTGATTGGACAGAGGGCAGGTCACAGGAGCCTCCAGGGAGTTCCCCCACATTCTGTGTGTGTGTTTGTGTGTTTGTGTGTGTGTGTGTGTGTGTGTTTAAAACGGCGTGTATCCACATCTGGAGTCTGAGCTGTGTTTTCCTTTGGGCCTTTTCCCATGGTCTGCGTGATTCTCATTCCCTGCTCCTTCCCTTGCTTGCCTCCACTCCTCTGCGCTCTCCTCACTTGTGCGTGTGTGCGTGTGTGCGTGTGTGCGTGTGTGTGTGCGTGTGTGCGTGTGTGCGTGTGTGCGTGTGTGCGTGTGTGCGTGTGTGCGTGTGTGCGTGTGTGCGTGCGTGTGTGCGTGTGTGTGTGTCAAGGAATCTGGGGGTACACCCTGGAGGCTCCTGTGACCTGCCCTGAAAGGAATGGGTGAATGCCAACCAGACTATCAGTTGCTCATTTGAACTGTACTTGGCAAGTGTACTGCCCTTGTTTCAGGGGAGAGGAGGCAGAGAAGTAAAGAAACAAAGGAAAGAAAGAGCAACAGAAAAATTGAAAAGTATGGAGAGATTGAATGAAACCAATAAAATGAAATCAAATCCTTTAGGGTTTTCAGACCATAAGTGTGTGTTCTGTATGAGGCCATATATTTTCTACACAGTACAGTTAGTATTTTCCTCCTATTCACACACACTCACCTTCACTCATGCCATCAAAAATTGCCCCTATCGCCACATTATGTTTGCCGGGTTCTTCCACTGATGAGAAGTCATGTTACACCCAGAGGTTGAGGTTTTATACCAGCCACTTCCTGTTTACACCACTGCGAGTCCTCTCTTGAGGTGAGCTTAAGCATGGTTGGCATGGTAACTAACGACTGCCACATACAGGAGTGAATGTGCGAGACCTTCACTTAAGTAGAGATAGAGAGAACCTGTCAGTGCTCTATAAGAAGGGAAATTACCCCTTGTTATGGCAATGAGAGAGCCGCAGAGTCTTCTGGGAGTTTGTGGTGAATGTTGTGCCGCTCCAGTAAGACAGACATCAGCTCTCGTACTCCGTGGCCGATGTAAGTCATTTAATCGTGTTAAATCTCTCAAAGCCCTATCCCACCTGGACAAGATAAATACCTATGTAAGAATGCTGTTCATTGACTACAGCTCAGCCTTCAACACCATAGTGCCCTCCAAGCTCATCACTAAGCTCAGGGCCCTGGGTCTGAACCCTCCCTGTGCAACTGGGTCCTGGACTTCCTGAGGGGCCGCCCCCAAGTGGTGAAGGTAGGCAACAACACCTCTGCCACGCTAATCCTCAACAGGGGGGCCCCACAGGGGTGCGTGCTCAGCACCCTCCTGTACTTCCTGTTCACCCATGACTGCGTGGCCACGCAGTGGTGCCAGGAAAATAACTTCTCCCTCAACGTCAACCAAACGAAGGAGCTGATCGTGAAATACAGGAGAAAGCAGAGAAAGCACGCCCACATCAACATTGACGGAGCCGCAGTGGATTGATTTTTCCTCATTTGGACTAATCTTCCAAGAGTCCTTAAACATTAAAATACAATTTATAATACAATCTCATGTCCACATATAACACACTGTTACAAACAACAGAGATAATATACTGCCATATTGACCAGATAAATACTCTGACAGTCTGAAAATATAGATTGGTTCCTTCATCTACCACAGTGAAGAGGGTCAAAAGCTTCAAGTTCCTCGGCGTGCACATCACTGACGAATTGAAATGGTCCCTTCACACAGACAATGTGGTGAAGAAATTTGGAGGCTGAAGAAATTTGTCTTGGCCCCTCACAAATTTCTACAAATGCACCTGTCGGGCTGTATCACCGCCTGGATGGCAACTGCACCATCCACAACCGCAGGGCTCTCCAGAGGGTGGTGCGGTCATCCCAACGCATCCCCGGGAGCACACTGCCTGCCCTCCAGGACATCTACAGCCCCTGGTGTCACAGGAAGGCCAAGAAGATCATCAAGGACCTCAGCCACCCGAGCCACGGCCTGTTCACCCCGCTACTATCTAGAAGGCGGAAACAGTACAGATGCATCAAAGCTGGGACCGAGAGACTGAAAAACAGCTTCCATCTGTTAAATAGTAACCACTAGCCGGCCTCCCTCAGGATCCTACCCTGAACCTTAATCACTTTAATAATGTTACATACTGTTTCACCCACTTCATATGTACAGTATATACTGTATTCTAGTCATGGCTCATCCTATATACTGTAACTACTGCAGTACACACCTTTTCTATTCATATACTGTCCATACTGTATATACATAACATTATATACAGTATATACACTACCAGTCAAAACTTTGGATACACCTACTCATTCAAGGGTTTTTCTTTGTTGTTACTATTTTCTACATTTTAGAATAATAGTGAAGACATATGGAATCATGTAGTAACCAAAAAAGTGTTAAACAAATCAAAATATATTTTATTTTTGAGATTCTTCAAATAGCCACCCTTTGCCTTGATGACAGCTTTGCACACTCTTGGCATTCTCTCAACCAGCTTCACCTGGAATGCTTTTCCAACAGTCTTGAAGGTGTTCCCACATATGCTGAGCACTTGTTGGCTGCTTTTCCTTCACCTGCGGTCTAACTCATCCCAAACCATCTCAATTTGGTCGAGGTCGGGGGATTGTGGAGGCCAGGTCATCTGATGCAGCACTCCATCACTCTCCTTCGTGGTAAAATAGCCCTTACACAGCCTGGATGTGTGTTGGGTCATTGTCCTGTTGAAAACAAATGATAGTCCCACTAAGCCCAAACCAGATGGGATGGCGTATTGCTGCAGAATGCTGTGGTAAACATGCTGGTTACGTGTGCCTTGAATTCTAAATAAATCACAGACAGTGTCACCAGCAAAGCACCCCCACACCATAACACCTCCTCCTCCATGCTTTACGGTGAGAAATACACCTTCGGAGATCATCCACTCACCCACACACGCGTCTCACAAAGACACGGTGGTTGGAATCAAATATCTCCAATTTGGACTCAAGACCAAAGGACACATTTCCACCGGTCTAATGTCCATTGCTCATGTTTCTTGGCCGAAGCAAGTCTCTTCTTCTTATTGGTGTCCTTTAGTAGTGGTTTCTTTGCAGCAATTCGACCATGAAGGCCTGATTCACGCAGTCTCCTCTGAACAGTTGATGTTGAGATGTGTCTGTTACTTGAACTCTGTGAAGCATTTATTTGGGCTGCAATTTCTGAGGCTGGTAACTCTAATTAACTTATCCTCTGCAGCAGAGGTAACTCTGGGTCTTCCATTCCTGTGGCGGTCCTCATGAGAGCCAGTTTCATCAGAGCGCTTGATGGTTTTTGCGACTGCACTTGAAGAAACTTTCAAAGTTCTTGAAATGTTCTGTGTTGACTGACATTCATGTCTTAAAGTAATGATGGACTGACGTTTCTCTTTGCTTATTTGAGCTGTTCTTTTTTTTTTTTTTTTTTTTTCGGGGGGATGGATCAGCTTAATATTGCAGATAGATTGTATCTTCTATCAATGTAATTGTCTGCATCACTTCCAATCCCCCATGTTTTTTTTAATTTTTTATATATATATTCCCCTTTATTACTTTTCAACCCCACCATCCTTTCCCTACTTGGAGTAAATTAGTGAACAACAACGCCCAGGCCTCTACTTCCGGTCTATACTTACTATCTACACCTTATGGACAGAGTTAATTTTACAATAATTCTATATCTATATATATATAAAAATATATATATTTATTTATTTTTTTGCTCCTGAACTTCTTCTACTCTCAACCTCTCCGATCATTTTCATGATGTCCATCCGATTTGCTTCTAAATGCCATATCTTTCTAACTGTGCTCTTTCCCAAAAGCTCCCAACATACAACCTATATACTTATTATGGACACAGTATGCTTACATTATTAGCTATCTTTGTTATTATTTGTTGTTATTTGTTATTAGTCCCATCCTTCAACTCTATTCAATACCTCCCATCTATCTCTTAACACCATCCATATAGGATTTCTATTTGCCATATATATTTCAACCGTACTGTGATGTTTTACAAAAGTTCTGAACCTTTCTATTCTCATTGCTTCTACAGATTGTGAATTAAAAATAAACATTTTTGCTAAAAGTATTATTATATTATTGATTGATTGACTATGACTTTTCAGATCACCCAGTAATGCTATCTGCAAGGTTAGTTCCAGGTAAATATTGCAATCCTTTAGCCATTCCTGGACCTGTGTCCAAAAACAAGCTACAAATGGACAGAACCAAAACAAATGATCTAATGATTCTATCTCTTCACAGCAAAATCTGCAGAGCTGGGAAGATTGTATCCCCCATATAAATAACATTCTATTGGTAGCAAGAATTTTATATAATAATTTAAATTGAAAGATTCTAATTTTTGAATCCGGTGTCGTTTTGCGTGTCAGTTCATAAACACTATGCCATGGGATCGGTACGTCAAAGATCTCTTCCCAACTATTTTGCAATCTATATGGGACTGCTGTCAATCCGTTGGTCCTTAAGTGAAACTGATATACTTTTTTATTTATCACAGTTTTCCTTAACCAATTATGTTCTTTAATGCAAGGCCGACAGACAAGTTCCTTACTTTCTCCCCCTTCAACTTTCCTCTTCCACTTTTGCGGTAAGGCTGCAATTATTTGGTTGTAATTTTGGGTAGAGCAGACATTTCCATATGTTTTTGTTAGCTGCATGTGCGACATAACTCCACCAGTCCTACCGATGATATCATTTACGAAGATTATACCTTTTTTAAACATTCTGTCTAAAAATAAAGGTTTTTTGTCAATTAGTATATTTGAATTTAACCACAATATTTGTTGCATTATTTGTTCTGTCGTTTCTGGAGGATTAAATTGAAATTGCAACCAACTTTCTATGGCTTGTTTTAGAAATAGTGACATTTGGGAGATTATTTCCTTTTCAAATAACTGAAAGTGAGAGGTTGTAATCTGAATAAAGGGAAAAAGGCCTTTCTTGAACAGTGGGTGAGACAATCTTACTAATTTGCTTGAGAACCAGTTCGGATTTAAGTATAACTTTTGGATGACTGAAGATTTTAGTGATAGGTCTAATGCTTTAATATTTAATAATTTCTGTCCTCCGAATTCATATTCATTATATAAATATGCTCTTTTAATTTTGTCTGGCTTGCCGTTCCAAATAAAATTGAATATTTTTTTCTCATATAATTTAAAAAACTGTTTGCTAGGCGTAGGCAAGACCATAAGCAAATAGGTAAACTGGGATAATACTAAAGAGTTAATCAGGGTGATTTTTCCACAAATTGACAGGTATTTTCCTTTCCATGGTAGTAAGATCTTATCTATTTTTGCTAACTTTCTATTAAAATGTATTGATGTGAGATCTTTTATTTCCTTTGGGATATGTATTCCGAGTATATCCACATCACCATCAGACCATTTTATTGGTAAACTACATGGTAATGTAAAAATGTTATTTTTTAGTGATCCAATACGTAATATAGTACATTTGTCATAATTTGGTTTTAATCCAGAGAGGTTAGAAAATGTATCTAGATCCTCTATGAGGCTGTGGAGGGATTCTAGTTGTGGATCTAAAAGAAAACATGAATCATCTGCGTACAATGACACCTTTGTTTTTAAGCCCTGTATTTCTAATCCTCTGATATTATTATTGGATCTGATTTTAATAGCTAACATCTCGATGGCCACAATAAATAGATATGCCGATAGTGGACAACCTTGTTTCACTCCTCTTGACAGTTTGAAACTTTCTGAGAAATAGCCATTATTTACTATTTTACACCTAGGGTTACTATACATGATTTTGACCCATTTTATAAGAGATTCTCCAAAATTGAAATGCTCCAGGCATTTATATATAAATTCCAGTCGAACTTTATCAAATGCCTTTTCGAAGTCTGCTATGAATAGCAGGCCTGGTTTCCCATATTTTCCATAGTGTTCTATTGTTTCCAATACTTGCCTTATATTATCTTCAATGTATCTTCCATGTAAAAAACCTGTCTGATTAGAATGAATAATATCCGACAATACCTTTTTAATTCTATGCGCTATACATTTTGCTAGGATTTTTGCATCACAACACTGAAGTGTAAGGGGCCTCCAATTTTGTAAATGGACTGGATCTTTATATTTTCCACTTGTATCCTGTTTCAGTAATAATGAGATCAGACCTTCTTCTTGAGTGTCAGATAATCTACCATTTACATAGGAGTGGTTAAAACATGCTAATAACGGTCCTCTTAGTATATCAAAAAAGGTTTGGTATACCTCGATTGGTATGCCATCCAACCCTGGAGTTTTCCCGGACTTAAAGTCTTTAATTGCATCCAGAAGTTCCTCCTCTGTAATTTCACCTTCACATGAGTATTTCTATTTGAGCTGTTCTTGCCATAATATGGATTTGTTATTTTACCAAATAGGGCTATCTTCTGTATAACCCCCCTACCTTGTCACAACACAACTGATTGGCTCAAACGCATTAAGAAGGAAATCAATTCCACAAATTAACTTTTAGATAGGCACACCTGTTAATTGAAATGCATTCCAGGTGACTACGTCATGAAGCTGGTTGAGAGAATGCCAAGAGTGTGCAAAGCTGTCATCAAGGCAAAGGGTGGCTACTTGAAGAATCTCAAATATAAAATACATTTTGATTTGTTTAACACTTTCGGTTACTACATGATTATATATGTGTTATTTCATAGTTTTGAAGTCTTCACTATGATTCTACAATGTAGAAAATAGTAAAAATAAAGAAAAACCCTTGAATGAGTAGGTGTTCTAAAACTTTTGACCGGTAGTGTATATATATATATTTTTTGTTCCGGACTCTGACATTGCTCTTTCTGATATTCTTTATTTTTGTTTTTGTGATTTTTTTGTGTATTGTTTTGTACTGCTAGGTATTACTGCACTGTTGGAGCTAGAAACACAAGTATTTCACTGCACCTTTGATAACATCTGCAAATCTGTGTACGCGACCAATAAACTTTGATTTGATTTGAGCTCGTGTTCACATGTGCGCTTTTATTTGTGTGTGTGTGCGTTTGCTGGTTGTATTGTTGTGGTTTCTGAGGGGTTGTGAGTGATATTGTCTCTTTCATGTGGTTTTGTCGGTGAAACTGACAGTATCATGATGGAGAGTATTATAGGAGCATGCTGAATCTCACCCCACCTGGCACAGTGTCTTTACTAATTTCTGTGTGAAACCACTGATTCTATTCCAAACTCCGGCCTCTCTGAGAATCGCGCAACATTGCCACCTTGTGTCTATGACATGTAATTACAGTATTTTCTCCAGGTTCTGTCCTTATCGCTGACAGTGTCCTTACCTGCGAGTTTTAAATGCCAAAGCTGTGTGTGTATGTTTTCAATACTAACAATGTGTGTTTTCTCTTTCCTCAGGAGGTGCAGACTAAAAGTAAGGTTTGTGCCAATGTGTTCTGTGGCGCAGGAAGAGAGTGTGCCGTCACTGAGAAGGGAGAGCCCAGCTGCTTGTGTATAGAGGTGAGTCACGTCAAATCATGGTCATATGCACAGGATACTGTGTAAACGGTTCTATGAAATGCTTACTAGAAAGCTTCCTTACCATGCAACGTTAACAATAAATACAAGACTAGAGCAATAGTACGTAAATGCACAAAATACAAGTCAATACAAATACTATTTCAATTAAATGTTGTATAAAATAACAGAATGTGATATATTGAAGAGAAATACAGAACATACGGAATGTACTATGAATATACTTGTTAGTTAGCTTGTGCGTGCGTGTGTGTGTGTGTGTGTGTGTGTGTGTGTGTGTGTGTGTGTGTGTGTGTGTGTGTGTGTGTGCCTATGCATGAGTGTGACTGTGTGTGCGTGCATAACAAAGTTTATCAGCATGTGAGAGTGTTGTTTGTCCAGGTATGCCAATTTTGGCTTGATCTTTTTATTCAGGGTCATTTATATATATATATATATATATATATATTTATTTTTTTCCCACCTTTTTTTAACCAGGTAAGCCAGTTGAGAACAAGTTCTCATTTACAACTGCAACCTGGCCAAGATAAAGCAAAGCAGTGCGATAAAAAACAACAATAACACAGAGTTACATAAGAAATGGCTGATATTTTTTTTCAGGGTCATTAAGAAATGGCTGATCTTTCTATTCAGGGTCATTTAGAAATGCCTGATAATGTCAGTGTCACCTTTTAAAGATGCACTATGCAGATATTGCTCCTCCATTTCCTGGTTGCTAAAATTCAAATAGTTCACCTAATTTCAGTTTATGTGATAAAACAAGCAAGTATTGTGTAGAGAATCATTGTACCATCTAAACCGCTGTGAAATATATTTTCCATAACCAAAATTATTGTATTTTCAGCTGTTTGAAGCTGGTGTACAAAACCGAAAGTAAAAGACGCAAAAATGACACTTAAGAATGGGAAGTATAGAAATAGTGCACATAGAACAGATCTACTGCTTCTTAGACTTGCTTTCAATAAGAATGACAGATCACAACTCTCATTTCTATGTGAATTTGGTCGGGTCGCCCAAAAAGTTACATATTGCAGCTTTAAGATAATTAAGGATAGGGTGTCATTGTATCCTTTAAGAGTGTCAAAGTCAAGTGTATATTTACATAGCTATAACTTTCCTCTCTCTCTCTCTCTCTCTCTCTCATCTCTCTATCTCTCGCTCTACGAGAGAGAGACGAAGCGAGAGACTATATAAGAGGGCGAAAGAGAGAGCGCGAAGCGAGAGCGACGAGGAGAGAGCAAGTGGGGCGGAGCTCGGCAAGAGCTATGGAGCCGGGAGCCAGAGAGAGGGCTCGTCGGAGGCGCACAACCCTCAGGGATGGCGAGGAGGAGCGAGCCAGGCGGAACACAAACCAAACCAACAAAAGGAGCGAGGCGAGGAGCGAGAGCGAGAGAGAGAAGCAGGAGGCAGAGAGAGCGAGAGAGAGAGAGAGAAGAGGGAGGGAGAGCAGAGAGAAAAAACGAGAGAGAGAACGAGACGACGCTGCAGTCGCGAGAGCGCAGTCAGGTGAGCACACAACAGGATATTCAGGAACGTAGACCCGCCGTCACCCGAGAGAGCCAAGCCACCCACCTACTCGCCGTCTCTATCTCTACTCTCTTCTCTCTATCTCTCTCTCTCGCATCTCTCTCTCTCTACCCTTCTCTCTCTCTAGAGCTGTAAGCCCACAAGCGTTTAGTGTGCTGGCAGCTAGTACGGTAAGACATACCGCAACCACTGTGAGCTCACACGAGACGCATGTCTCACTGGCCTCAAGATCCATGGTGGCCCACGATGGACACTGCCAGGGTGGGGGAAAAACACACACACACAAATTTCTTGTTAACTTGTGTGGTATAGCACATTACTGACCTCTATTGCTATCTGATGCCTATATGCTCAGGGGTATAATCTCTGGTTGTCATGACACAGTCAGTGATACGTGTGAGCTGACAGGTCAGCTGTTGCCCATATAAGGCTATCCTATCATCATCCGACATACAGGTGACATATATGGTCCCAGACTCATCTTCGATTTAGCAAGTGTTGAACTTTGAACCTATACACCCAATGACCTCTTCTTGTCTGTCTGTTGGCCTGGAATTGATCAGGTGTTGATGATAATCAGTTACTCGTCTGTTGTTGTAGGAGTGTCACAGAGAGGCCATCATGTCATGGTGTCCATGGGCATTAATGGTTATTATGGCAATGTGACAATGACATGGTGAAAAACACTAGATGGGGAAAAAAACACTAGATACTGTAAAACAATGAATTAAAGCTGTTCTCTTTCTCTCACTCTCCCTTTCTATCTCTGTGATACTCTCTCTTCTTTTTTTATATCTCTCTATATGTCGAGGAGAGGAGGGGGGAGAGATGGGAGAGAGAGGCGCTGCGGGGAGCGAGAGGGAGAGAGAGCGAGCGAAAGCGAGAGCGCGAGGAGAGAGAGAGAGAGAGAGTGAGAGGGGAGAGGAGGTGGCAGAGAGAGGGGAGAGAGAGAGAGAGAGGAAGAGAGAGAGAGAGAGGAGAGAGAGAGAGAGCAGAGAGAGAGAGAGAGAGCAGAGAGGAGGAGACGGAGAGATAGAGATATAGAGATGGAATAGATATAATAGATAGTAGAAGATACAAGAGATTTGGACGGTATGAGATGCAAGATAGAGAAGAAAGAAAGACAAGAGCATGGTGCAGACGGAAAGCAAAGGTGCAGGGAGGGTGAAACAAGTAGAGTTAGAAGGAGATATGTGGGTGGGGCTGAGACAATCGAGTCGTGTATCTCTCAGCTTTATTTAATATAGTCCTATGGGGATGTTAGATAGACCAATGAGTAATCAATAGATACTGCATAAGAGCCTATGTAAGTGATATAGTAGCGAGGACGGGAACTAGGAGTGGACCCAACGACATTCAGTAACTGAGAGGGACGTGTGAAGGGTGGTTGGTTGGGCGTCAGGACTGTTCATTTGGGCACATAATGAGCTGGGAGGAACTGGTGTGCTCTGGACAGAACAGAACCAGGGATTGTGTTGCATGCCCTTTTGGGGAGAAGGAGAGAGTAGAGAGCGGAAGAAGGGATGCACGGGAGGAGGAGGACAGGGGAGAGGGGGGGGGGGAAAAGACAGCACGGGGGCAAAGGAGTCGAGCGGGCGAGAAGGCCGGGGCCACGAGACGCGCGGCGCGCGAGTAGCGCGAGCTGGCGAGCGAAGACAAGCAACAAGACCACCACCAAACCACCAAGACAAAAAAAAAGCAAAAAAAAAGAAAAAAAAAAAAAAAAACAAAGGAAAACAAACAATAAAAGAAAAAAAAAAAAAACCAAAAACAAGAAAAAATGAAAAATCACAAAAAAAACAACAAAACCCCCCCCCACCCCACCCACCCCCAACCCCCCCCCCCCCATACCAGACACCCACCCCCCACCCCCCCCCCCCCCCTCTCTCTTTCTATATCTCTCTCACCCCCTCTCACTCCCCCTCTTTCCTTCTCTCTCTCTCTCAATTCAATTCAATTTCAATTCAATTTAAGGGCTTTATTGGCATGGGAAAACGTATGTTAACATTGCCAAAGCAAGTGAAGTAGATAGTAAACAAAAGTGAAATAAACAATAAATATTAACAGTAAACATTACACTCAGAAGTTCCAAAAGAATAAAGACATTTCAAATGTCATATTATGTATATATACAGTGTTGTAACAATATGCAAATAGTTAAAGTACAAATGGGAAAATAAATAAACATAAATATGGGTTGTATTTACAATGGTGTTTGTTCTTCACTGGTTGCCCTTTTCTTGTGGCAACAGGTCACAAATCTTGCAGCTGTGATGGCACACTGTGGTTTTTCACCCAGTAGATAAGGGAGTTTATCAAAATTGGGTTTGTTTTCAAATTCTTTGTGGATCTCTGTAATCTGAGGGAAATATGTGTCTCTAATATGGTCATACATTTGGCAGGAGGTTAGGATGTGCAGCTCAGTTTCCACCTCATTTTGTGGGCAGTGTGCACATAGCCTGTCTTCTCTTGAGAGCCAGGTCTGCCTACGGCGGCCTTTCTCAATAGCAAGGCTATGCTCACTGAGTCTGTACATAGTCAAAGCTTTCCTTAAGTTTGGGTCAGTCACAGTGGTCAGGTATTCTGCCACTGTGTACTCTCTGTTTAGAGCCAAATAGCATTCTAGTTTGCTCTGTTTTTTTGTTAATTCTTTCCAATGTGTCAAGTAAATCTCTTTTAGGTCTTTCATGATTTGGTTGGGTCTAATTGTGTTGTTGTTGTTGTCCTGGGGCTCCTCTCTCTCTCTCTTGCTCTCTCTCTCTCTGTCTCTCTCTCTCTCTCTCTCTAGTGGTGTGTTATGTAGCAGACCGTAATGAGTTGAGGCATCATGTGATCCAGTGGCTGCAGACTGAGGTGGTCCCAGACGGCTGGTTTGTCAAAGGCTCCAACTTCACTGAAATCTTGTTGAAATACTTCAAGGTGTGTGTGTGCGTGTGTGTGTGTGTGTGTGTGTGTGTGTGTGTGTGTGTGTGTGTGTGTCAAACAAGCGTTTCAGTTGCGATATCTGTTCTATGAAGTCCGAAACTATGAACTTGAGACATGTTTTGTGTACACGACTTCCTACAGTGAGGGAAAAAAGTATTTGATCACCTGCTGATTTTGTACGTTTGCCCACTGACAAAGAAATGATCAGTCTATAATTTTAATGGTAGGTTTATTTGAACAGTGAGAGACAGAATAACAACAAAAAAATCCAGAAAAACGCATGTCAAAAATGTTATAAATTGATTTGCATTTTAATGAGGGAAATAAGTATTTGACCCCCACTCAATCAGAAAGATTTCTGGCTCCCAGGTGTCTTTTATACAGGTAACGAGCTGAGATTAGGAGCACACTCTTAAAGGGAGTGCTTCTAATCTCAGCTTGTTACCTGTATAAAAGACACCTGTCCACAGAAGCAATCAATCAATCAGATTCCAAACTCTCCACCATGGCCAAGACCAAAGAGCTCTCCAAGGATGTCAGGGACAAGATTGTAGACCTACACAAGGCTGGAATGGGCTACAAGACCATCGCCAAGCAGTTTGGTGAGAAGGTGACAACAGTTGGTGCGATTATTCGCAAATAGAAGAAACACAAAAGAACTGTCAATCTCCCTTGGCCTGGGGCTCCATGCAAGATCTCACCTCGTGGAGTTGCAATGATCATGAGAACGGTGAGGAATCAGCCCAGAACTACACGGGAGGATCTTGTCAATGATCTCAAGGCAGCTGGGACCATAGTCACCAAGAAAACAATTGGTAACACACTACGCCGTGAAGGACTGAAATCCTGCAGCGCCCGCAAGGTCCCCCTGCTCAAGAAAGCACATATACATGCCCGTCTGAAGTTTGCCAATGAACATCTGAATGATTCAGAGGAGAACTGGGTGAAAGTGTTGTGGTCAGATGAGACCAAAATGGAGCTCTTTGGCATCAACTCAATTCGCCGTGTTTGGATGAGGAGGAATGCTGCCTATGACCCCAAGAACACCATCCCCACGTCAAACATGGAGGTGGAAACATTATGCTTTGGGGATGTTTTTCTGCTAAGGGGACAGGACAACTTCACCGCATCAAAGGGACGATGGACAGGGCCATGTATCGGCAAATCTTGGGTGAGAACCTCCTTCCCTCAGCCAGGGCATTGAAAATGGGTCGTGGATGGGTATTCCAGCATAATAATGACCCAAAACACACGGCCAAGGCAACAAAGGACTGGCTCAAGAAGAAGCCCATTAAGGTCATGGAGTGGCCTAGCCAGTCTCCAGACCTTAATCCCATAGAAAATCTGTGGAGGGAGCTGAATGTTCGAGTTGCCAAACATTAGCCTCGAAACCTTAATGACTTGGAAAAGATCTGCAAAGAGGAGTGGGACAAAATCCCTCCTGAGATGTGTGCAAACCTGGTGGCCAACTACAAGAAACGTCTGACCTCTGTGATTGCCAACAAGGGTTTTGCCACCAAGTACTAAGTCATGTTTTGCAGAGGGGTCAAATACTTATTTCCCTCATTAAAATGCAAATCAATTTATAACATTTTTGACATGCGTTTTTCTGGATTTTTTCTCACTGTTCAAATAAACCTACCATTAAAATTTTAGACTGATCATTTCTTTGTCAGTGGGCAAACGTACAAAATCAGCAGGGGATCAAATACTTTTTTCCCTCACTGTATGTTTTGGACCATAAGGAAAATGAATTAGTCACACTGATTAAAGCTGTTTTTACCCTCCACATAGCACATAGCATTTGTCATAAGCTGTTACAACTAGGAGAGGTGACTGGAAACTATTGGGTTTTCACAGGAAGGACACCCCCTAACCTTCAGCCCCTCTCTCACACTGGCCAGCCTATGGTCTCCTGTACCCCCCACCCCCCTCCACCCCCCATTACTAATCACATACCCCCCATCTTTATTCCCTTACACTCTCAGACTGGTACTGTAACCTTTATCCCTCCATCCATCCCTCCCTCCATCTCTCCATCCACCCTCTCTTCCTTTCCACCCTAAATCATCAAAGCTACCTCAAACCCTGCCTGATCATTTATGTGACAGCCGTCTCATGCATGTCAGTGGACGGCCGTAACTCTCCTTAATGACCGTCCCCCTCCTGCGGTGAAGGACCCCTGGCCCTGCCACTCTCCCATTGGCTCAGAGATGGCCTTAAAGGGGAATTGCAGTCGATGTTCAGAAACGTTTAATTTATCTCCACTTGTTACTGTTTCTTCTACACACATGGAAACATGAGAAAGATTAATGTGATATCAAAATACCATTGTTCTCCTGTCTCCTCTATGTGCCTCATGTGTCTGAGAGTTCCATTAACTCTCCACAGAGACAGAGCATAGTGATATAATGGAGCCTTTAGTATACAGTGCCTTCGGAAAGTATTCAGACCCGTTGACATTCTCCACATTTTGTTACGTTACAGCCTTATTCTAAAATGGATTAAATAAATACAAATCCTCAGCAATCTACACACAATACCCCATCATGACAAAGCGAAAACAGCTTTTTTGAAATTTTTGCAAATGTATTAAAATAAAATAAAACAGAAATACCTTATTTACATAAGCATTCAAACCCTTTGCTATGAGACTCGAAATTGAGCTCAGGTGCATCCTGTTTCCATTGATCATCCTTGAGACGTTTCTACTACTTGAATGGAGTCCACCTGTATTAAATTAAATTGATTGGACATGATTTGGAAAGGCACACACCTGTCTATATAAGGTCCCACAGTTGACAGTGCATGTCAGAGCAAAAACCAAGCCATGAGGTCGAAGGAATTGTCCGTAGAGCTCCGAGACAGGATTGTGTTGAGGCACAGATCTGGGGAAGGGTACCAACACAGTTCTGCAGCATTGAAGGTCCCCAAGAACACAGTGGCCTCCATCATTCTTAAATGGAAGAAGTTTGGAACCACCAAGACTCTTCCTAGAGCTGGCCGCCCGGCCAAACTGAGCAATCGGGGGAGAAGGGCCTTGGTCAGGGAGGTGACCAAGAACCCAATGGTCACTCTGACAGCGCTCTAGAGTTCCTCTGTGGAGATGGGATAAACTTCCAGAAGGACAACCATCTCTGCAGAACTCCACCAATCAGGCCTTTATGGTAGATTGGCCAGACAGAAGAGTTTGCCAAAAGGCATCTTAAGACTCTCAGATCATGAGAAACAAGATTCTCTGGTCTGATGAAACCATGATTGAACTCTTTGGCCTGAATGCCAAGTGTCACATCTGGAGGATACCTGGCACTATCCCTATGGTGAAGCATGGTGGTGGTAGCATAATTTTTCAGTGGCAGGGACTGGGGGATTAGTCAGGATGAACAGAGCAAAGTACAGAGAGATCCTTGATGAAAACCTGCTCCAGAGCGCTCAGGACCTCAGACTGGGGCAAAGGTTCACCTTCCAACAGGACAACGCCCCTAAGCACACAGCCAAGGCAACGCAGGAGTGGCTTCGGGAAAAGTCTCTGAATGTCCTTGAGTGGCCCAGCCAGAGCCCGGACTTGAACCCGATCAAACATCCCTGGAGAGACTTGCAAATAATCTCCACTGGTTACTGTGCAGCAACGATCCCCATCCAACCTGACAAAGCTTGAAAGGATCTGCAGAGAAGAATGGGAGAAACACCGCAAATACGGGTGTGCCAAGCTTGTAGCGTCATACCCAAGAATACTCAATGCTGTAATCACTGTCAAAGGTGCTTCAACAAAGTACTGAGTAAATGGTCTGAATACTTATGTAATTGGTATATTTCAGTTTTTTATTTGTAATACATTTGCAAAGATTTCTCAAAACCTGTTTTTGCTTTGCCATTATGGGGTATTGTGTGTAGATTGATAAGAAAAAAACATGTTTTAATCAATTTTATAATAAGGCTGTAACGTAACATAATGTGGAAACAGTCTAGGGGTCTGAATACTTTCCGAAGGCACTGTAGTCCCACACACCACTACATCTACCCACTAAAGATATAATGGAGTCTTAAAGTATCCCTCCACCCAAATATAGCGGTCCACACTCTGTGACCCCCGTGGAGGCAACAGGTCCCAGCATCCAAACCCCTCAATCCCCTTATCTGACAGGGCCACAGCCACTCTGTCACTCTCTTACTCTCTCTCCTTCTCTCTCTCTCTCTCTTTCTCTCTCTCTCTCTCTCTCTCTCTCTGGAGACTGTCTCACTTCCTCTCCCTACACAATATGTCTGTCAATTTCTCTATAGAATATAACTCTATAGCTGTTAAAGATTTCCATTTGTCCCTTCAATAAGCTTTAATTGGAGGAGGGCTCTACACTGTAATGGAAAACTGTAATTTATTCAGTAATTCTGGGTATTATCAACTGTAAAATACTACGAATGCATTATACTGTAGCATACTGTAAATGATTGTGCATTGTGGGAAAATGTTGTGGGCGGTGAAATAATTGCTTTTTTACAGTGCAATACAGTCAATTCGACGGTATTGAACTATGTCATTACACAGTACTTTGCTACTGTATTGAGATTACAGTAGGTGTATTGCACTCTGAAATACAGTAACTTACTTACCAATAGCTGCCTGTAAGTTACTGTCAAATTCACTGCAACCCCTTTACAATGTAGGGTTGTCAGGCGACCGATGACCACTGGTGATGTCATGACTTCCTCCGAAGCTGCCTCCTCTCCTTGTTCGGGCAGGCTTTGGTGTTCGTCATCACCAGCCTTCTAGCCACTGCCGCTCCTCATCTCATCATTCCATTTGTTTTGTCTTGTTTATTACACACACCTGGTTCATATCCCCTCATCAGTACCTGTATAAGTGTTCCCTCTGCCCCCTTGTCTTTGTGTGTGATTGTTTATTGTGGAGGTTAGATTAGCTCGGTGGAGCTCCTTGTATTTTATATCGCCGGGATATTTCCCTGTGTGCCTTGTTTTTTTCCCAGTGCGCCTGATTTACACACTGGAGTGTTTGACGCATTGCTACAGTACGTACCGCTGTGTTTTCGGAAATAAACCCTTTTATTCTGTGATTTACCCTCCTGCGCCTGACTCCTTCAAAATCACTCACCACAGGTGATGACTGCCACAGACAGTCTCAAAGTGCAAAGTTCACTCTGGATTAGCAGTCTTGGAAGCAGGGTTTTTATCAGGTAGAGGGAGATATTTAGAAAATGATTGAGAGAGGAACTGATATGACCAGAAGAAAAGTGAGAGTGGGGGGAGTGGAGATTGGGTTATGCTTGGAGGCTAAAATATATTTGATTAGGTTTTCTGGTTATTATTCACTTGTATGATTTTATATTAGCCTACAGAGGCCCATGACACTCTTCTATTCTCTACTTCTACTAACTCTGCTCGTTTCTGTCTGTGTGTGTGTGTGTGTGTGTGTGTGTGTGTGTGTGTGTGTGTGTGTGTGTGTGTACAGAACTACGACAATGGTGACTCCCAGATGGACTCCTCAGAGCTCCTTAAGTTCATCCAACATAATGACTCCAACGTGGGCATGCAGTCATACTCAGACCAGGAGAACAACAGGCTGCTCAGGTCAGTGTGTGTGTGCTTGTGTGCATGCTATTTCATCTTTATTTGTATATACAGTACCAGTCAAAAGTTTGGACACACCTACTCATTTAAGGGTTTTTTCTTTATTTTTTACTATTTTCTACATTGTAGAATAATAGTGAAGACATCAAAACTATGAAATACCACATATGGAATCATGTAGTAACCAAAAAAGTGTTAAACAAATCAAAATATATTTTAGATTCTTCAAAGTAGCCACCCTTTACCTTGATGACAGCTTTGAACATTCTAGGCATGATCTCAACCAGCTTCACCTGGAATGCTTTTCCAACAGTCTTGAAGGAGTTCCCACATATGCTGAGCACTTGTTGGCTGCTTTTCCTTCACTTTGCGGTCCAATTCATCCCAAACCATCTCAATTGGGTTGAGATCGGATGATTGTGGAGGCCAGGTCATCTGATGCAGCACTCCATCACTCTCCTTCTTGGTCAAATATTCCTTATAGAGCCTGGAGGTGTTGGGTCATTGTCCTGTTGAAAAACAAATGATAGTCCCATTAAGCGCAAACCGGATGGGATGGCGTATCGCTGCAGAATGCTGTGGTAGCCATGCTGGTTAAGTGTTCATTGAATTTTAAATAAATCACTGACAGTGTCACCAGCAAAGCACCCCCACACCATCACACCTCCTCCTCCAAGCTTCACGGTGGAAACCACACATGCAGAGATCATCCGTTCACCTACTCTGCGTCTCACAAAGACACAGCGGTTGGAACCAAGAATCTCAAATTTGGACTCATCAGACCAAAGGACACATTTCCACCGGTCTAATGTCCATTGCTCGTGTAAGCGTAACAAAATGTGGAAAAAGTCAAGGGGTCTGAATACTTTCCGAATGCACTGTACTTAGCTATGAGTACAGGCAGTGAATGTGAACCTGTGTGTGTGTTTCTCTCTGCTCTTCCCAGGAGCCTGTGTGTGGATGCCCTGATAGAGCTGTCCGATGAGAATACTGACTGGAAGCTGAGCTTCGATGAGTTCCTCAACTGCCTGAAGCCCGGCTTCAACCCACCTGAGAAGAGTGAGCTCACAGACACATGACCCTTGACCCAATTACTATGATGACAACACTGCACACCACTGCTGACATCACACATCCTTTTTTTCTCAGTTCATTACACAAATACCTCTATATCAACCTCTTAGACACATGCAGTAAACATGCAGTATTTGTTTACAGTGCATGGGATGTACATATGGTAATCAAAGTAGCTAACTTATTCACCACACCCGCAGGCAAATCCATTGTAACTCACCCTAAAATACTTACAATTCAATGCAGCAAAAACAGCTCAATGTGATTTATTTACAGACAACTGTATTTTTTCTTGGTCTTTTGTCCTGTACTGAGTTGATCAGAAGTTGTGCATTAATGATGTAGGGGAAAGTTCAGTGTGATAGGAAGAGCGGTTCTGGGAGAGAGCCCTATGACTTCACTCACAGCTGCAGCAGGCAGCAGCACACATTCCAGTCCAGAACACAGAGCCTACCCTGGGGCCTCACCAGAGCCAAGGATACAGATAGTAGAATGCTTTAACATACTGTACACACACTCTCACTCTCTATCGCTCCAGTGCTCTCTCTCTGCTGCGGACTACAGCACTACTTAACTGCGTTAAATGTTTTATTTAGACAGCTAGAACAAACCGATTCAAGTAAAACAGAGGATATGTAATTATTTCTGGTCACTTGAACAGACTTTAGTGTTACATCCGGTGTGTATGAGAGGCACTATAACTGCTGTACCCAATGTATTTTTCATCTAAATTCTATGTGTCCCCCTCGTCTGCAGAGTGTGCACTGGAGGATGAGACCTATGAGGATGGGGCTGAGACACAGGTGGAGTGTAACCGCTGTGTGTGTGCCTGCGGCAACTGGGTCTGCACAGCCATGACCTGCACTGGTGAGGAGAGGCACACCAGCACACCTGTATAGACACACTGATTCATCTACAAGTCATCCGAACCACATACCGGACTTACAGATAAGGACTCAACACCTGTCTTTCTCTCTCTCCAATTGATCCTGTAATTCTTTCATCCTTTGCATCTCTTTCTTAGACAAGACAGCGGTCGTCGAGGAGACCGGGGAGGCAGGGCAGGAGATGACCGAGGAGGAATGGAGTCTCCGTGTGGCCGAGCTTAACAAGCACCAGGTCAGCCTGTCGCCAGGGGCAACGGGGGTGGGGCGGGGGCAAAGTTCAAGGGACATACCGGGCCACTCTACAATCTCCCCAGACATATGGGGTAGCTCTGGAATTTGTCTATAAAGAGTTGGGCGAGTTGTGCTTTATTGATGACTAACCTTGTGCAGACCGTGTGACTCGTTTGTGTGTGTGTGTGTGTGTCTGTATTGCTTTAGTTAAACTCATGAGGGAGCAGTTCTGGCTCTCAGCAATAGCAGAGTCAGCGAGTTCATGTACTCTGTCCTCAAACAGAATATCTTCCAACATCCAACAACAACATCCAGCCCTGTGGGCTGAATTTATTAATACTAAAATGAAAGCCAATATTGAAGTTAAGAACTGGTAGAGATCCCTACACAAGAGGAACTAAGAGAAAGTCATCCTCGACACTGTGTAGAGGAAAATGGGGTGTTTATCTGTAACTATATAACCATGGCATACAATTGTTCTTCTCATGACAATATTTAACACTCTCCTCCCAGATCCGCTTTCTCCCTCTATCCCCACATCTCTCTATCTCTCTCTCTCTCTCTCTCTCTCTCTCTTTCAAAAACAGGAAACAGTGGAGAAGATGAAGGCCAGCACAAAGGAGGCCTAAGATGCCTAAAGAAGGAGGGTGTGAAGGAAAGAGAGAGAGAAAAAGACTTCACTCTTCCTCCATTCTTGATGAGGCCCTGTGCTGTCGCTGAATTTACTTATATGTTCATTATTATAGCTTTTTTACTATGTGTCTTTTTGTTTATGTGTGTTAGATGCAGGGGCAGTCAAAACTATTATTTTTGGAGTTCCTTGAGTTAAGTACTGTCTTCATGCTCTATTGTGTTACTGCACCCCTGCACAAGGAATGGGGCCATTTTCTACCGCTAACTTTTTTTAAATTGTTTTTCTATGCATTATAAACACAGTATTTGTTGGTATGGCTTTTGTTTGTAAAATAGCAAACGGTAAATGGTTGGCGATGAGAAACATGAGAGATGTTTGTAGTGAATTGTCGGGACACCTTTCTCCATCAAGGAATAAAATCACCTTTAAAGTCCTTCCAGATGTGTTAGAGAAATGTTGAGCAAAAAGATGATAATGTCCTGTTGCAGGGGAAGGGGATGTCCATTACTACTTGATACTACTTGACCAATGCACTTCTCCTTCCATGACTAGCAGCATAGTTGCAGGCCTTAGTGGATCGTCCCATTTAGTTAGAATCCTATGCTTTTTGACAAATGTGTTTGCTTCTATGTACAATTTGTTATATGCTTGATTTGGAGATCATATGTGATTGCAATGGCACATGTCCTATATTCCGTTGACTCTCTCAGGTGCTTGTTTTAGAAACATCGAAGCGTAGATTGTAGAATGAAAGCAACAAGCACCAAGCACAGAGCTGAGTACAGCAGGGAGAGAACTGAAACCAAAGACTGACGGTGACTATGATGTTGATGTACGATGATGTACGAACCCCTCCAGGCAAAGCATTTCTCTGGACCCAGCAACAACACTATACCTGTGCTTGTCAAAGATCAGTCATAAGGATTAGCCTCGCTGTCAGCTAACGTAGCTTTGACGCATCTCTAACTCAGAGTGCATGTGTATGTGAAATAATGTGTGTCTGTGATGAGGGAGGGTTTTTGAGAGAGTGTGTACTGCCTACAAGTGTGTTGTGGTGTGTCATATTTGTTTTGTTATGTTTTATTTGTCAAAATCCCACTTATTTTGAGAATTGTGAGAATTATCAGTGCCTTAAAACCTGCAGACATACACGGTAGAGGTCTCTTGTCCTGCAAGCTTTAAACCACAATTGGAATGGGCAAGACTATTCTTGGCAGAATTTTGGTATAAAACTTAGAGCTATGTGGTTTAGTCCTTGTTAAATGTTTGTGTAAAAGTTGTATAGCTAGGTTAAAACTAGGTTTTTATTCTGAAAGGAATGCTGAGTCTATAAGGAGTATGCATGCCAATAAAAAAACAACCCATACAGTACTACAAATGTCTCAACCTCTTGTGTGTGTGTGTGTGTGTGTGTGTGTATGTGCGTGAGTGTGTGTATACAGTGAGCACCATAATTCATTGGACAGTGACCATTTTTTTGTTATTTGATTCTGTACTCTATCACTTTGAGTTTGAAAGGATACAATGACAATGAGGGTGAAGTGCAGACTGTCAGCTTTAATTTGAGGGTATTTTCATACATATCGGATGAACCGTTTAGAAATTATAGAAGCTTTTGTACATGGTCCCCCCCATTTTCGGGCATCAAAAAACATTGGACAGTTTAACATAATGTAGAATAAAGTAATAATTGTTAATATTTGGTCGCATATCCTTTGCATGCAATGACTGCTTGAAGTCTGTGATGCATCGACATCACCAGACACTGGGTATCTTCCCTGGTGATGCTCTGCCAGGCCTGTACTGCAGCCATCTTCAGTTCCTGCTTGTTTCGGGGACTTATTGCCTTCAGTCTCCTCTTCAGCATGTAAAATGCATGTTCAATTGGATTCAGATCCGGTGATTGACTCGGCCAGTCAAGGATTTTCCACTTTTTGGCCATCAAAAACCCCTTCGTTGCTGCTCTAGCAGTATGTTTAGGGTCATTGTCTTGTTGCATGATGAAGTGCCGTCCAATGAGTTTGGAGGCATTTGGTTTTATCTGAGCAGATAAAATATTTCTGTAGACTTCAGAATTCATTGTTCTACTTCTGTCTGCAGTCACATCATCGATGAAGACAAGTGAGCCTGTTCCACTGGCAGCCATACAGGCCCAAGCCATAACACCCCGTCCACCATGTTTCATGGATGAGGTGGTATGCTTTGGATCATGGGCATTTCTTTTTTTTCTCCTTCACTCTGGTACATGTTAATCTTTGTCTCATCTGTCCACAATACTTTTTTCCAGAACTCTTGGGGCTCTTTTAGGTGCTTTTAGCAAACTGTAATCTCGCCTTTCTGTTCTTCAGGCTTATCAGTGGTTTGCATCTTGTAGTGTACCCTCTGTAGTCCTGCTGGTGTAGTCTTCTATGTATGGTAGACTTTGACACATCTACACCTGCATCCAGGAGAGTGTTTTTGATCTGTTGGGCTGTTGTCAGGGGGGTTTTCTTCACCATAGAGAGGATTCTCCGGTGATCCACTACAGTGGTCTTCCTCGGTCTACCGGGTCTTTTGACATAATTGAGTTCACCAGTTGTTTTTTTCTTGTTAATTATGAACCAAACTGTTGACTTGGGCATGCCAGTGTTTTTTCAATGTTCCTGATTGATTGAATTTAATTTCTGAGCCTTATGACGGCCAGCTTCATTTGCATCGACACTGCTGTCTTCCTCATGTTGTCACACCCCAACAACAACCTCCAAAGGCAATAGCAATGTCTACATCAACAGCTCTCCTGCATTCACTAACGACACAAATGAATACACCTGCCTAATGACACACATCTGTGAAGCCAATTTAACAAATACTTGTAGTACCTTAAAATGGGGGGACCATGTACAAAAGGTGCTGTCATTTCTAAACGGTCCATCCGATATGTATCAAGATACCCTCAAATGAAAGCTGACAGTCTGCACTTCACCCTCATTGTCATTGTATCCTTTCAAACTCAAAGTGCTAGAGTACAGAACCAAAATAACAAAAAAATGTGTAGAGGAAAATAGGGTAATGAGTGTGGGTGTTTATCTGTAACTACAGTCGTGGGCAAAAGTTTTGAGAATGACACAAGTATTGGTCTTCACAAAGTTTGCTGCTTCAGTGTTTTTAGATATTTTTGTCAGATGTTAATATGGTATACTGAAGTATAATTACAAGCATTCCATAAGTGTCAAAGGCTTTTATTGACAATTACATTAAGTTTATGCAAAGAGTCAATATTTTTGTGTTGACCCTTCTTTTTCAAGACCTCTGCAATCCGCCCTGGCATGCTGTCAATTAGTTCTGGGCCACATCCTGACTGATGGCAGCCCATTCTTGCATAATTACATTTTAGTCATTTAGCAGACGCTCTTATCCAGAGCAACTTACAGGAGCAATTAGGGTTAAGTGCCTTGCTCAAGGGCACAGACAGATTTTTCACCTAGTTGGCTCGGGGATTAGAACCAGCGACCTTTCGGTTACTGGCACAACGCTCTTAACCACTAAGCTACCTGCCGCTTGGAGTTTGTTAGAATTTGTGGGTTTTGTTTGTCCACCCGCCTCTTGAGGATCGACCACAAGTTCTCAATGGGATTAAGGTCTGGGGAGTTTCCTGGCCATGGACCCAAAATGTCTATGTTTTGTTCCCCGAGCCACTTAGTTATCACTTTTGCCTTATGGCAAGGTGCTGGAAAAGGCATTGTTCATCACCAAACTGTTCTTGGATGGTTGGGAAAAGTTGCTCTCGGAGGATGTGTTGGTACCATTCTTTATTCATGGCTGTGTTCTTAGGCAAAATTGTAAGTGAGCCCACTCCCTTGGCTGAGAAGCAACCCATTTTTTACATTTACTTTTTTTTTTACAGAGGAAGAACAATGATTTACAACCCCACACATGAATGGTCTCATGATGCTTCACTGTTGGCATGACACAGGACTGATGGTAGCGCTCACCTTGTCTTCTCCGGACAAGCTTTTTTCCGGATGCCCCAAACAATCGGAAAGGGGATTCATCAGAGAAAATGACTTTACCCCAGTCCTCAGCAGTCCAATCCCTGTACCTTTTGCACAATATCAGTCTGTCCCTGATGTTTTTCCTGGAGAGAAGTGGCTTCCTAGCTGCCCTTCTTGACACCAGGCCATCCTCCAAAAGTCTTCGCCTCACTGTGCGGGCAGATGCACTCACACCTGCCTGCTGCCATTCCTGAGCAAGCTCTGCACTGGTGGTGCCCCGATCCCGCAGCTGAATCAACTTTAGGAGACGGTCCTGGTGCTTGCTGGACTTTCTTGGGCGCCCTGAAGCCTTCTTCACAACAATTGAACCTCTCTCCTTGAAGTTCTTGATGATCCGATAAATGGTTGATTTAGGTGCAATCTTACTAGCAGCAATATCCTTGCCTGTGAAGCCCTTTTTGTGCAAAGCAATGATGACGGCACGTGTTTCCTTGCAGGTAACCATAGTTAACAGAGGAAGAACAATGATTTCAAGCACCACTCTCCTTTTAAAGCTTCCAGTCTGTTATTCTAACTCAATCAGCATGACAGAGTGATCTCCAGCCTTGTCCTCGTCAACACTCTCACCTGTGTTAACGAGAGAATCACTGACATGATGTCAGCTGGTCCTTTTGTGGCAGGGCTGAAATGCAGTGGAAATGTTTTTGGGGGATTAAGTTCATTTTCATGGCAAAGAGGGACTTTGCAATTAATTGCAATTCATCAGATCACTCTTCATAACATTCTGGAGTATATGCAAATTTCATCATAAAAACTGAGGCAGCAGACTTTGTGAAAATTAGTATTTGTGTCATTCTCAAAACTTTTGACCACGACTGTATATAACCATGGTAACATGGCATACAATTGTTCTTCTCATGACAATATTTACTACTCTCCTCCCACATCCTCTTTCTCCCTCTATCTCACTTCCTCATTCTCTCTCTCTCTCTCTCTCTCTCTCTCTCTCTCTCTCTCTCTCTCT